GTCTATTTTCCAAGGTAGGGACCTTGAAAAATGGTCCATAGTATCACATGAAGACATGCTATGTTACATAGCAAGCTTCCATGCGATGAAAATATATTGGCAGTGACTCTTCCAGCTCCTGCTAGTAGTGAAGAAGCTGATTACTCTTTAGTCAACACATTCTTACTACTGGGAGGGTGAACTATACTTTCTCAGAGTAGGAGACAGAACTGAAGAGTTAAAAGTGGTACCCTGACTTAAAGAGACCATAAATACACACAGTTGAGTGAAAATTAATCTCAATAAGCCCAATAGCCAAATCAAAAAATAAAAAATAAAAATAAAAACACTTTGACTTATTCAAAAAGTAGCTAGTTTATTTGTAAAGTCTTGTTCAAAAAATGATTGCTTAATTACTTGGGTGAGGAAACTAGGGACATACAAAACCAGGCAGCTCATGTAGAAGAATGAAGGAACTAGACACAAGTAACTGGTGAGGGAAAAAAATCAAGAGTGAAATAATGAGGACTCTGCCATTGACACATGCCAAGGTCATATCAGAACAAACATAAATAGGTATTGGATGATTATTGGAAAGCTTGACATTTATTGAAGCTTTTACAGGTTAAGAGGGCTTCAATAAAGACACATATAAAAATGTCACAAAGCTGCATTGATTCTCAAGTACAATGTTTGTACAACATGTACAACCCAGACTATGTACTGTAGGAAACCTTTAATTGCTTACAGGACTCAGTTTTTAATGAATGCTGTGATCAGAGGCTGCTTAAGTGATTGGTCCATGCAAAAGTGAGTCATTCATTCTATATTTTGTTTTGGTCCCTTTTAGTTTCAGTTGGACATGTTCCATCAGCTTTGACAAGACAAATGGTTTCTTTGACACATGGGTCAACACTGAGTGTAAGTCCAAAAAATACAGTCATACACACAACCAACATATCTGTGTCAGACCTGGGCATCCATCATAATATCAGATATTCAGATCCAATGCAATAGGTCATTTCCCAAACAACTTCTGATCCTGAACATGATCAGATCTGAACTAACTATAGTCTCACACAGGCTGTCTCTAAGAACCTTCTTCACCTTCAAAACATCAAGAGCACTGAAAGATGAAAAAGGGGACTTGGGACATACAGGGTTCTTACTCAGATATTTGCAACTGGTAGTGTTGTTTGAAAAAACCTCTTTATCCCTTGCTTTCTTATTACTCTTCTTTCTGGTTACTTGCCCATGATCAACTCAGAAACTGAGCAGACACCTGACACCACACATACTGGTTGGAGGACAACTACAGTAGCACCCTTTTACAGGGAATTCCACTGCCTCAGCCACTTTCTTCTGAACATGCATTCAAGAAGCAGATTGGGACCTATCTATCTGCACAGATTCATCTGAAAAGGGCTTGCTCAAGTCCCATGGCACCACTGGCAGAGGTGATTTCCTTAAACCTCATCATTTTAAAGGGACAGCAGGGATTTTATATGCAGAAAAAGATGTTAATGAGAGCCTGGATTCTTGAAATCTCGATCTTCACCAAGGTATTGTGCAAAGAAGACCTGTAGGCCTTGCTTGGATCAAAAAAGTGCTTCAGGAGGAGACTCAAGTGTATACTACTGATTCTACTCAGACAACTTGGGGTGAACCTCCAAGTTCCCCCTTTGATTGATGGCCAGAGTCAAGAGAAAAGCACAACTCAGCTTTCATGGGATCTTGTAGCAACTTTAAGCTTAAGCCATGGCTAAGGTGAGAAGATCCCAACTGACAAAACTGCAGTCACAAGGGAAGCAAAAAACTTGGTCAATATGGGGGTCGAACCCATGACATCCGCATACCTTTCTCGCCGCACGGCATATTAGTGCGGCACTCTAACCAACTGAGTTAATCGACCAATGAAAAAAAAATCGACAAAACAAAATATGAAACCAAATAAAGGTCTGCTTTCAGGGGTTGTGTTAAATGTTTGGGGTTGCTGAAGGGGAAACTTCTTGTCGAGCTCAAGGGCCACTGTAGTAGCAAAACATTCCTGGTTTGGAGAAGTTTCAAAAAGGTAAAAGTGTACAACATGTCCTTTCATGATATCAATCCGATGGAGCTGTAGCCTGCGGATCACGAGTTCACGAACAGTGGTGGGAGTGGCCCGTCATGTTTTTGATCCAATGAGGACATAACTTTTTCCGCCCTTGAATGCAAAGTGGGTAACAGATTATCATATAACCAGCGCGGTTCACTCAACAATGCGCTCGGAGGTCTACGAGGCAGCTGGAGGGAGTTTGTCAAGTTAACCGGCGGGCTAGGGAATTTAATCTTACGCATTTCAAGATAACGCACAATTGGTGTTGGTCGTAAAGTGTTGGTTCACTCATTTCTCTGATCTTGTTGCGACTAACCTTGGGCAGGAAGTAAGCAATTGGGTTCAAGTCCAGCTCTGATAATATATTCTCGACGTCAGCCATATTGAGTATTCATCAAGTTCTGACCCTCGCCAAACAAACACTCGTTTTCACCTTCGTCACATAATTGACACCTGGGTGAGTTGCACGGGGCCGACTGCGCCCGCCCACTGCGTTGCCTGGCAACACACACTTGGGAGGCGAAAAAAGAAGCACTTGCGATCGCGGTCAAGACCAAGACATAATCCTCAGGTCTTGTCGTGAGTCAATCATAGGTGATCAATAGCCGAATGTGCTGTCACATGGAGCTTAATTTATGGTTCGAGGCCTTCGTTCGGGACGAGGATATGGAAAAGGGCTAAATAAGTGCCAATGCTTGTTCTTGCACTGATGAAGTGGACGCCCTTCTGATAAGGTGACAGACGTAGCAAGCAATACGGAAGCATGTCATGATTGATGAAAGCAACAAGTCCAGTCATGGAGGGCAAAGAGGTCATAGGGTTGCTCTTGGAAATTTGAGACATTGCAAATGGACCAATACCAGCTACAACATCGCAATAACTAATCAAAGAAAGTCGATCAATAGGATTTCTTTGCGGCGGTCAGCCTGATCAACAAAGAAAATGTCAGCTGCTCAGAAGAGGGAGAATAGAGGACCTGGATAGTTAAAAAAACACATACTGTAAGTGAGTGGAGAACTCCTCGAATGGCTGTGGTGGAGGAGGAATTTGTTGCCACATGTCGGGAGTAAGGACGGCATAAGTGGCAGTAATCTAGAAGGGAGGGCAAAGCGGAAATCAAGATGTGTTGTCAGCCAAAACAGTTGCCCTGATGATGTGTCACAATGGTCAACTAACCGCGGCATAGGTGGCTTTGAGGAAGTTACCCATTGTCGAGGTGTTACCTCGAGATTGGGTGTAAACATCCTGAACACCAGCCAATTGAAGAAGACGTTTGCTAGCCGGGGCAGCGACAATTCCGGTACCTCGAGGAGCGGGTACGAGTTTGACGTAGACTGAAGCAGTCTTGCCTTGGACCTTACAAGGGACGGTATGGGGTTCACCAAGCTTAGCACCCCAGTAACCACGTCGGACAGGAATGATCGAGAGCTTGGCAATGATGATGGCACCACGGATAGCAGTAGCTACTTCCTTTGCGCATTTGACACCAAGTCCGAGGTGTCCGTCAGAGTCACCGATAGCAACAAAGGCTTTGAAACGAGTTCGTTGACCGGCTCGGGTCTGCTTCTGGACGGGCATGATCTTCATGACTTCGTCTAGGATCAATGAGAAGGCATAACAGTGTGAGTCACACAACAAGAACACCACTCTAGCACGCGCATTCAGAAATCGAAGAACCTTTGAGGTTGGGCAGGAGAAGATCAATGACTTGATACTCCTTGACGGGCAGGGAGAACAGGTAAATTTCCTCGATCGATTTAATCTTGCCGTCCTTGACAAGTCTTCCGAGCTTGGTGACAGGAACCCTGTTGCAATAACACCACAGAGAGAAAGGCAAGGTGAGACGAAAATTGAGGCAACGGGTCATCTGGCACCCAAGCAATATCCATGTTAAAAGAACGTACCATTCTTTCTCTTCATCACGCTTGGCACCGCGACGAGGACCACGTCGTGGGCCACCACGACCACCGCGGCCTCGGCCAAAACCACCACGGTCGCCGCCACGTTCAGCTCGGTCTGCCATTTTGTTCGGAAAGGGTGGATGAGATCGGTGTCGTGTGCTGCGTTTCGTGAGGACAGTCGGTCTTGTCGAAGTGGGAAGGTTGGGTCGGTTGTGTGACTGAGTACGCTGCGGATTAGGGTTGGAAATGGGTGACACTTGGCACGCCTCTGACTGCGGGTATGAGACTCGCAAACGCCACTCAGGTCACGTGCTCCGCATAAGTCGTATATATACGGTACCGTACCACACCGTGACCTTCCCCCTAAAGTGTTATATAGAAAATACATTCAATACTTCTAGGAGCTGACTTCTGGAATCAGCAAACCCTCGTGTTTTCACTCACCGCCAGCAAAAATTACTCGGACAGAAGGTGACTTCTACTGTACCTGGAAGGCGGTCTTTCTTCCCACCTTAGATTGGGAGTTAAGTCTGGTTGCCCTGGGACTCATGCAGGAATTTTGAAAACAAACCTCTGTTACTGCCATTGTCTTTCCTTAAATTGAGGGATCAATGGAATGGGCAACATGTCAGCATGGGTAATAGTTTGCACAGAGGTTCCTTTGTGTTTCATCAAAATTAAGACTATCTCGGGTAACATACAGGTGGTTGGAATAAGTTAATCCGAGGAGGAGGCTTATACGACGTTGTATTTCTTGTTGTAGGCTTTTTCATAAAGTGCTGTATGTTTTTAACGAGTAATGCACTATAAAAGACTCACAAAAAAAAACACCGTAACCTAGGGCTTTTTTTTTTTTAAAAAAAAAAAAAAATTGCATATCACACTATACAACTATTAAATGTACAAGACTACTACACACACTACTCGGATATAGTCTAAATCTTGGCTTCTGTTTGACCAAGTTCAAAAAACCAGTTGGATAGCGGAAGACTTATACCTACCCCCTTTTTCTTCCTCTTTTTAGGTGACTTTTGGTATTATTATTTAGGATAATAATTGTCCAAGGCACCCAAGGATCCCTTTGATGGGATCCTCACCATCCTCACCAGAGTTTTATTTGAACTACCTTTTGCCAAAGTCTGCAGAGGTGAAGTCCCCATTTCACACCCCCCACCTGTTCCCTGACCTAGAGTCAACTGGCTTCATGGGGAAATAGAAGTAGTTAGAACTGGGGTGGGTGGATGGGAAGATCAAGGATAGCTGACTGAGTCATTGAAGGAGTGAATTACTCACTGTAGCCAACTCTGAGCTAGTTACAGCCCACTTAATGACCATTTGTTCAGAAGGAATATTACGCAATCACTGAATTGTCAAACTTGTAACAAATTGGAGGATACTAAACATTTCTTACTTCATTGCAGGAGGTACAGAAGTCAAAGTAACCAATGGTAGTCAGCAAGTCTGCCAGTGCAAGGCTGTGAGTCCGCACAACCACAAAGGATGAGTCAACCTTGAACTTTGCTACACTACCTCCAAGTCCAAGATTTGTAATACCTATCTTCTTTTTGGAATGATTGCCCTTCCTTGAGGCTAGCTGTATGGGCTGCAACAAACCATACAACTCCCAGAAACTGTCAGCCCTGAGGACTGCATGACAGTCCCACAGACTGCAAGAAGACATGTACATACATAGTAACTAGGAGTAATAGGTGTAATACATAGTGTAACACCTGTATTACATGTGTAATAAGTGATGTACACATATAATGAGTAGTGTAACATATGTACTACATATGTAATGAATAGTGTGACAATTAAACCACACCTCAATCTCAGTCTTGAGAGCTGTAGACACATATATAAAGCCACCTGATGGCATAACACAAGTATCATTGACCAGATGGAGAAGTGTAAATGTGAATTAAGTAACTTGTAATAGATAAGAGACATTATTTATTACAAGACAAACCAGCAAGGGCTAGGTTAGCCCTTTAACATGGGAAATGCCTATAGTGAAGGAAGATTGAAGACTGAGGGTACAAAAGGAGGTCCCAAAGTCTTCCCTCCAGGAGGACATTGCTGATCACCAATCAATCAATTGAGAATTTACACCTCAACAGCTTAAAACACTATCAAAGTGATCCCTGAGCTTTCTTCTTCTAAGATAACCATAGAATCATTCACCCTAACCTGGGTGTGGTGATTATTCTATTAAGTAGAAATAAGCTTGGTCTCTTAGTCTCTTCTTTTGACTCTTTCTTGGCTGTCAAGGTTCACACTACCTTGTCTTCACTGCCCCTCATACTAGAAAGCTCCTCCCTCTTGTCTTTAGGGTTCTTGAGAGGGAGCTAGTTGAGGAAGAAGACCAAAGTGTCTTAGTGCAGCTGAGTGAAGCCCTAAATTGGGATTCAGCCCCTTGCTGTGTTTCAGACAGGCACTGCCAAAATATTTGTATCGGATGGGCCTATCCGATGTTCTATCACCCCAACACCGCCAGCAAAAATTACTCGGACAAGGCTGTCCGAGGTGTTCTCGGACAGTGAAGTCCGAGTTGATCTCGGACCA